CCGCGACTGATTTGGAATGGCATGGCACTCGGGGAAACAACGAGGCCCCCACACCGACCACCAACCATGGGCACAGGGATGTCTACCGCACAGGCGCAAGGAGCATCCCACGCGATGTGCACAAGCCGCCCAGCGGATGGCCGCGCAAGGAGAGATCAGCACCATCGCCACCAATTACAATGGCACCAACGCATTTGCAGCCACCAACGGAGCACTACTACAAGCGGCTGCGTTCAAAAACTCACACGAACGAGACCAACGGTGCGCAATTGCTGCCATTGGCCACTTGACAACGAAACCCGAGTCGGCAGACAGCCCAGTAGATGCCGAAGGCACGACTGGAGCACACATGGGTTTTTCTGTCCGCCCACGACAATTTAACGACGCGCACGACAACATCTGCGTCAGCAAATGGAGGTCAGGAAAGAATTGACCCATTCCGGACGATACACTACATTCACGGCCCAGTGGGAGGCAAAACACACGGCATAGGCATCAATGCATTCATGGACGACACCACCCACGCACAAGCCATCTCAGAAACGGCCACGGCATGGGAGATAAAGACACAAATCAACGGCACCACCGACCGACTAGCCGACGCAGTGAAATAAAAGAAGTTGGGGCTTGAACCACGGCAAGACAAACGACCGATCGTGCTCAATTTCAGAGAAATGAGAGCACTGGGCCCGCGCCTACCAGCTGGACAGGGCGTCGCAGGCGAAATGGCCAAACGCATCAGCGCGGCGACAATGCGGCATCTTCTGGACACCCGACACGCCACGACAGATGAAACGTTTAATGTACATGGCCTTCGTCATGGACGCGGCCCTCAGCGGACTAGCTGCATTTGTTACGCTTGCAGCGCGTATCAATGCGCTAGACAGCGCCTGCGGCGAGTATTCTGGCACCAGAGGATGGAACGTTCAAGCATTGCATGGGCGGTGCGACCGCTAAGATTGTGCCGGAGCTGGTCCCGCTACCCCACCCACGGAGCACGGCGCGGCGCTTGCTGCAGCGTTCTGCCCCAGCCAATTTGACGCATCACGGGGGGCCAGGAGGCTCGCGGACGCGAGTTGGACGGGACTACATTCTACCCCGTGGGCTCAGCTATTTGCAGCAGACGTGCAGCAACTATTCCAGGGAGACGAGGGGGTGGGGTGGCATGCGCAACGAGACCCCGATCTGGCTGCATTAGAGACAGGGGGCACATAACAGAAACTATGGCTACAGACAGGCACTATAATATTGCAGAGCTGCGAAAGAAACTCGACGCATTAGTGAGACGGGAGGAGGAGGTCACTGAGGTCAGTGGATGACATACTACGACCCCGCTGGTGCAATCATGTTAACGTGGACACATTGTGCGTGGGAACAACGCGCGGGTAAAGATGCCAAATCTACGCGGCCCTTGCAGGACGCCCACGGGAAGTGCACCACATTTAGACAATTTTTTGCAGCAGCAATCGTCAACACCCAATGCTTGTTGTGCAAGAGTACGCTTGTAGACAGGAAAACAACGATCGAGCGTGCCGCGAGATCGGTCCGCAAGCGCGGGATATGCCACCAGGACAAATCCAAGTGGGCCCCATACCATACAAGAACCCAGGACAGCAACGCCCATGATCTGCACCCGCCAGGCCCAAACGCTAGAGGAGCACAGGGCGCACATGCGAGAGCACTTCGCGGGCCCCGACCAGATCAGAGCGGCAAAAGGCGGAGCTGCACGCAGTCTGATACGCCGCGGCCGAGACGACGGAGCGGCGAGTCAAGCGCCCGGGCCCAGCGCGAGAGGACCCTAGGCTGCAAAGGGGGCATGGTCAAGCAGGCCCCCGGGCCGACGCTCGCGTTCCCGGGCGCCTAGCAGAGTCGTTCAGGAGGCCCGCAGACGGGCGCGAAGAGGGTCGTCGAGGCCCAGCGCAGCAGGCGCCGCGGACGGGAAGCCAGCCACTAGAGATGCCCAGCATCCCTCGGCCTCAAGCAGTTGCGGGCCCCGCGAGCGCATCCCCAGGAGCAACGGGACCAGGGCCATCCAGCGGTTGGCCCCCCTCAGTCTCGCCTTGCACCAGAGGAAAAACGTGCGATGCTGATCAGCGGCGACATCGAGCAATGCGCGATATTACGAGACAAAGCGTCACGATTTGGAGGCCACATGGCGGACTGTACGCATGGCTACTGACTACTGGGACCAACGCTCGAGGGAATACTATCTGGCCATGGGGCAACAATGAGATAAGGTTGGCCACGCTATCTGCCAATACGACCCTCACCTCTACTAGGCACATCGGCCCGAGCTGCAGTGTTAGGCAGAGAGCTACTGGAACGCGACAGCAGGACATGCACGAGCACGAGTGGACCTTGTACGCATGGAAGCCACCAACTCGAAGACTACGGACCGACATCGGCGACTACCTGCAGGACCACCAACTACGGAGCCCCAGGAAGAGGGAGAAGCCTAACCAGGACCGAACCGGGACATTAAGTACCAGGAGTTGGACCGACTAGCGCCCCCAGCCTCACCTTGACCTCTCACCCTCTCCCACAATTATCGACGCAAGTACGAATCTACGCCCGCCCCCTCCCACTACGGCGCCCCCCCCCCCGGCTCAGGAAACAACCGCCAGGGTAGGCCAGGAGCAAGGCGCCAGGCCCCGACTCCAACACTACCCAGGTCCGTCTCCCACCGCAGCCTTTTCGACTCGATCAGAGTTGCGGCATCTACCCGCGCGCGGGACCAGTTGGAGCCACTACCGATAGCCGCGCCCCACGCCCAGCTGGCACGGCACAGCAGCGCAGCCCAGCGGCACGGGCGGCAGCGGCTGCGGCGGCTGAGCCCCCCACGCCAGCGCAGGGGTCGGCCGCTGCGACGGAACAGGTGGCGATCCATAAACCAGCCGAGCGCGGCAGCGGCCCGTGCGACCAGGACTTCGGAACCATGCAGTACCGCCTGGAGACCTGCCACAAGACGCTGTAGAGCACCAGCGTGGTGCGCGACGACATCATCCAGCACGGCCGGATGGCGCTCTATGCCTCCTATGAGGAACGGGAGCGCATCAATATGGGGCCGGCGAGGGTCGCTGCCAGCAAGAGCCCGAACCACCACGAGGAGATCGAGCGCACCCGCGTGGCGGAGCTCCTCAGGCAGCAACTCGACGAGAACAACAAGGCCATCGAGCACTCCCGCGGCGTCGAAGGCATCCTCGGCAGCCCGAGCAGGCACCGCAAAGGGCCCTACACGTGGGAGCTGGACTACACGAGGACTCATATCGACGTGCTCGAAGACCATTTCACTAAGTGGACGGGGCTACGACGAGGTGAAGATGGCGGACGAGAGCAGCCTCGACCGCCTGCAGCAGCAGCGGCAGCAACACAACAGCGGCACGCAGCAGCGCCCCAAGTCCCCGAACCCCAGCTTGAGCATCAAGGAGTGGAAGCCGTACGCGAAGGTGCTACCGATTCAGCTGCAGCTCCAGCCCCCGCCCCCGCCAGGCATTCCAGCGGAGCCGAGCGCACCGAGCCCGAGCGGGGACTTCCGCCTCCGTGACCCATCGGTCGCAGAGAAGGCGGGGGCCGGGGCTGCTGTCGTGAGCAGCGACTCCAGCCAGCAGCCTGCCTTTTTGTTTCACGAAGCCCGCCCTGCCAGCGCCATCAACTATCCCGTCCAGCATTCTCTCGCCAATGAGGCGAACTACTAAAGGCGGAGAGCAGCCATTAGCCATTAGCAGCAGGCGAGCTCCCACAGCCAGCATCAGCAGGCCACTTGCGTTTCTTCTTGATCCCGCATCGCGCCGACAGCAGTGAGAGAGGCGGTGGGATAGAGTGGGGGGCGGGGGTAGAGACTGTTCACAGCGGACTGGGGCCCGCCTCCACGGGGAGGCACCCCAGTCCGCGCGCGTCCAAGTACCAGATCACCAGGGCAAGGCCCCCCTGCTACGGCGCAGCGGCCCACCACCACTGGGTCGGGGGCCGCGCGCACCAGGCAACCCCCGATCGCCAGCTGACGGGGCCCTGCATCCGTATCCCCACCCAGGGGTCAGTCAAGCAAGTAGATTGGCTGACATTCAGACCGGCATTGCGCGTTCTTATCCTTATCCTCCTCCTCCTCTGCTGGTTTCCCCCCGCGTCACCCCCTTCCTCGTTTTCCTCACCTCCCCGGGTGGCCCCCCCTTTGCGGTTAGCGGCGCCACTTTACGCGCCAGCCCTGCGGAGCAGGGCTGGGTTGGCTTCGTTTGAACGACCATGCAGCCACCAGGAACCAAAACCCAGGAGGAGCAGGATGATGATGATGATGCTGATGATGATGATGATGATGATGATGATCATGATCATGATGATGATGATGATGATGATGATGATGATGATGATGATGATGATGATGATGATGATGATGATGATGATGATGATGCTGATGCTGATGCTGATGCTGATGCTGATGCTGATGCTGCTGATGCTGATGCTGATGATGATGATGATGATGATGATGAGATGATGATGATGATGATATGATGATGATGATGATGATGATGATGATGATGATGATGATGATGATGATGATGATGATGATGATGATGATGATGATGATGATGATGATGATGATGATGATGATGGATGACGAGGAGGAGGAGGAGGAGGAGGAGGAGGAGGTGGAGGAGGAGGTGGAGGAGGAGGAGGAGGAGGAGGAGGAGCAGCAAGAGGAGCAGGAGGAAGAGACAGAGAGCGAGAAAGAGAAAGAGAACTAGAAATAGAACGAGAAAGAGAAAGGGACAGAGAGGAACATGAGGAGAAGGAGGAGGAAGAGGAGGAGGAGCAGGAGGAGGAGGAGAGGGAAGAGGACGAGGAGGAGGAGGAGGAGGAGGAGGAGGCGACGTGGGGAGGACGAAGAACTATAAGCAAGAGAAGAATGACGAGGAAGGAGTAGGAGGGAGGCAGTCGGGAGGAGGGAGGCCCTCCCTTCCCCCCGTCTTGCCCCCCCCACCACCACCCCAACGAGCCAGAGACAGGACGCGGCAGCCAAGCAGAAGGCTGCGCCCAGCGGTTTCGTGAGGGAGCTGCTCGCCAGGGTCGCCAGCTCGCTGGAGCGCGGCGGCGCCCATCTCTTCCCCGACCCCCCCCCCCTCACGAGCTACGAGCATACGGCAGGTCCGTGTCGTGCCGACGCGGCAGCGGCTTCGCCTCGGGCGTCCGAGGTTGCACGCCGCCACTGGCCCAATATCAGCCACTGGGCAAACGACCTGGCGGCCGAAAAGCCGCCGATCGTTCAAGGTTGAGCGACACTCGCGGTGTCAGACACCACCGCCGGGGTCGTCACGACACGGACTCTGCGTTTCCACGTCCATGCCCTCGCGGTCCGGGCGTTGTGGCGCGCTTCCGTCAGTAATGCCTGCGGGGGCGCGTCGATGATCGCGCTTCGCGCGACGCGGTCTGGGCCATAGCGGCTGCCTTGTTTCTAGCGGGGCGGCGCGAGGGCGCCAAGAGAATTGCGCGTCGCGAGTGCGTTTGCGTTTCGCGCGGGGCAGCCGCGCCGGGCCGCCCTGCATCCACTGGGTCTCCGGTTTGGGAATACGGTTCCCCGGCCCTCGTGCCATTCTCACTCATCCTCCCCCACCCCTATCCAGCACCAGAGGAGGGCCAGTTCAGACATCTCAGAGAAGGGAAACGTGCCGATACTGCTACTCTTGCCCCGTTTTCGCCTGCTGGGCCTCCCGGGAGGCCCTGGTCCCTACCGTAGGATTTGATTCGAAATTCTGGTCAAAAAGAAACCCAGGAGAGGTCCCGGGAGTAACGATATCGGTACCTTTTGGGTTCCCCAACATCGGCATCTCTCCCTCTGTTCCATCCTCCTCCCATCCTTCTGTTCCTCGTTCGACCGACAGCATTCTGGCCGGTTTCGGGCTCAGCTGGCAGGAGTCTCTCGAAGTGCGTGCTTGGGCCGTGGAAGCGCGAGCAAGAGCCTTGCGGGGCACTTGGGCTTGCCTCGCTGCGGTTTCAGATTGGCGTAACGCGTTCAGTTGGGTCCTCCTCCTCCTCCTCCTCCTCCTCCTTCTCATCATCATCAGCAGCAGCATCATCGTCAGCAGCATCATCATCATTAACACCACTGTCACCATTACCACCACCATCATCATCCTCCTTCTCCTCATCAGCATCATCATCAGCATCGTCACAATCGTCATCATCACCATCGTCATCACCATCATCGTCATCATCATCATCATCATCAGCAGCAGCATCATCATCATTATCATCAGCAGCATCATCATCCTGTCGTGCCCACCCCCCTGCAGCACAGAGTAGTAAGCCGCGTTTGAAGCTCATCAGGCCCTGCCTGTTGCAGTGTACTTAGGGTCATGTGTCGCGCCTCTGGTTCTGGGCCACTGCGCTTCGGCGAAACGCGCTAATCATTTCCCCGTTTCCAGGCGTCAACGGGGCCGCCGCCGCAACGTGCTCCCGTCCATAGCACTGACATGGATCCGAGGGTCATATGATCTTGTCGTGTCTTGTCTCCTGGAGCCCCCTGGACGTTTTCGAGCGTGTGTTGGATCCAGCTGGGCCCCGACAGGCTGTCCGCCGGCGGCACCTCGTCGCGAGCCGCCCAGGGTTGCCCTCACCACCCCGAAGCATGGCCCCGTTGGGGCCATATTTGGGACCTTGGGGGTCCTCTTGAGGCCGTCTTGGTGACCATGCGTGAAAGAAAAGGGTACTCTTCATGCCAGTCCCCCCGTCCGGGCCCTCAAAATCTTCTTTTAGGGCGTTTCGGGGGCTTTGTGGTGGTTGATGGTGGAGCAGGTTCGGACGCTGTGGTGGTAATTGGTACCAGGTCACGCGACGATCTTCGTGGTTATCCTCCATCCTAGCAATGGGCCGCTTTGAAATGTTCGGAGAAACTCATCCTAGACACACACACACACACACACACACACACACACACACACGCACGCACGCACGCACGCACACACACACACACACACACACACACGCACACACACACACACGCACACACTCACAAAAACACATACACACAGAGACACACACACACACACGCACACACGTCTTAACATTGACAAAGATCCGCTCGCTTTCCTTTGTCTCAAAGTCAGTCCTTCGCAAGTTGTTCTGACGCAAATTGCGTGGCTCGAGGTCGGCAGAGACCCCGATCTGGAGCCACGAGCCTCCTTCGCACGATCATTGTTGCATGCTGCCTTAGAGTTGAGCAGATGGCCGTCAGCAGCATGGTCCTACTTGCAGCCGCCCGTCAGAATTCAACCAAGGTGGTTGGCGTCGAGCCCTCCACCAACGCTGGGGTCTATTTGCTGGCGTCAAAGACGGTCCATAAAGACAGCCATGTGTTCAAGACGTCCAGCAAGTCCAAGACGATCCATGATGAACCATCGGAAAGAAAGTTTGTTTCACTAGCTAGCGGCGGCGGGTTTCGATCGCAATACAGTGATGAAGATGGTTTCCTCCCACCCTCCAGCGCTGGATTATGATGTAGAGAGCCGCATAGCCTTGCTAGAGGCAGCGGGCTTCGCCCGCAAGGCAGTGATGAAGATGGCGTCGTCCCACCCACGAGTGCTGGGCTTGGATGTAGAGTCCCGCATTGCCTCGCTCGAGACGGTGGGCTTCGACCGCAAGGCAGTGGTGAAGATGGCGTCGTACTTTCCTCAAGTGCTGGGCTTCGATGTAGAGAGCCGCATTTCCTTGCTGGAGGCGGCGGGCGTCGACCGCAAGGCAGTGTTAAACATGGCGTCGTCCAATCCTCAAGTGCTGGGCTTGGATGTGGAAGGCTGCATTGCCTCGCTAGAGACGGCGGGCTTCGACCGCAAGGCAGTGTTGAAGATGGCGGCGTCCTTTCCTCAAGTGCTGCGCTTGGACGTCCAGCACGTCGCGCCCGAGATTTCTCCCCAATCGGTGCTTGCACTGAAGGGGTCCTAATCCAGAAGCCGCATTAAAGTGATCATTTCCCCCCTCTGTGACAGAGGGGGTGTTTTTCGGAGGCCCTCTGTGACAGAGGGGGTGCGTTCGGAGGCCCTCTGTGACAGAGGGGGTGCGTTCGGAGGCTCTCTGCGACAGAGTTGCTCGTCATCCCGTTCCTCGTCATCCTGCTTCTTGATTTCGGATATGTCATGCTACCACTGCGCTCATCATCTTTGCGTCTGTGATCCTCGTCGTGTTTTTCCATGCGTCCTTTTCACAATGTCCACCACATTATCCTCCGTTGCCGTTCTGGCCCGCCATCTACCTCGTCACTCTCCTTCGTCTGCATGTCCTCATTCTCTTCCGCTTTTTTTTCGCCCCCCCCTCTGGTTCGATTTCCGCTCTTCGTCCACTTCGCTCATCCGTTTCCAACCCCCCTTCCTTTCAAGTTCTCCGCCGTCCAATCACATCGCGTCGTCCGTCGCCGCTATGCTCAAACCATCCCGCGCCCGTGGGGTCGCCCGCGAGCAACGGTGCAGCCGGGCCCGTCGCGGCCTAACGCGCGCCTGCGCCATGGTCTTGCAATGGGCGACGCAGGCGGATACACATGGGGTGGCGCGGGAGGATGGTGGGATAGCCGCAGCAGCGGCTGGCGTGGCTGGGAGGACGGCAATGATTGGTCAGCGAGGGGTTGGAGAGACTGGCGACAAGACGGGCACACGCCAACGGGGGACGCCACATGGCGCGATGGCCCTGCCGCCGCAGCAGCGGCGGCGGTCTCGCCTCAACGGCCGTCTCGCTTCGCCGCGCTTAGCGCTGTGAGCCCCCGCGCCCCTGGTCTCGGCATGCCCGAATTCGATAATTTCGCGAGGGCTGCCCTCCGAAACTCACCAGAACCTGGGAACACAGTTTCAGGAGAGGGGCCGGGATCCCGAGCCGCGCCTGCGGCGCAGGAGCCCCGCGCCACCGCAGCGGCGGCGGCGCGCGGGCCCCAGGATTTCGAGAAGTTTGATGTTAATTATTTTTTGAGTTATGAAGAGAGGCTCGGCACTTCGTTTAAGCAACACAATCAAGCGTTGAAATGGTGGCGCCATCTGAATGAAGACCCAACTGCCCCGTTCGAGTCAGAAGCCAAGTGGTTTGACAATGCGGAGCCCACCATGGTCGCTGTTTGCGACCACGGTGCGAGGACGAGCTTTGGTTTCAAAAGCGACGAGGAAGTCCCTTGGCGGTGGCAAGAGATGGTGGCGACGCTCAGGGAGGAAGATATCAGGGAGGTCGCGGGGGGGGCCCGCAGCAGCGGGGCTCTGATCGGCTGCCCCCTCGAAGTCCGGCCAAACAGCTACGACCACATGCGTCAGAGTATTGTGCGCGCGCGACAGTTCGCGGGGCAGCGGGTGAAAGTGAAGCTGCCGATGTGGGATTTCGTGTTGCACCGCGACGACGGGACAGGCGTCCGCTTACACCCGCACTGGGGCGACAGGAAGGTCGAAGCTCTGCCCCTCGCCCCCCACGCGGACACGGTGAGGCCACCAGCCGCGGGTTTGGGCGGGAGCGACGGGTCAGGAACTTTTCGCTGGTACAAGGACCTCGGTGTGGAGCGCAAGGTCAAGTTCGACGCCGCCAGAGAGAAGGGGAGGCCGACGCCTTCTCAGGGGCCCCGCAGCAGCGGGGCCGCGGCGTCCAGCACCAGGCCCTCGGCGTCCGCAGCAGCGGCTGGCAAACCAGTAGTTTTGGGGCCGAATAGCTCCCCAGACGATTTGGTTGCGGAGTAGATGGCTCCGCAGCAGCGGGGCTCGAACGAAGGGCGCGTCGCATTTCGGCAGGGGCGCGCGCGTCGGCCGCCGAGATCGGGAGCGCGCGTGCAGGCGCCGTGGCGCGATCTTCGTTAAGAAGTCTTCCCTCTCCTCCCTGTCCCCCCATCCCGCCGCCCTCAACGTCGGCTCCTCGCCGCCCGTTCCTCGTCGCTCCACGCCTGTTCGTTCTCCTCCAATTTCCTCTCCCGCTTCCTCGTTCTCCCCTTCCCATTTTTCCCTCCATCCCATTGCATCCCTGGCACCCCAGCGAAGTTCGCAGTTCGAAGTTTGAAGTTCGGAGTTCGAAGGTCGCAGTTTGAATTTCGAAGCTTCGCACTTCGAGGTTCGATCTTCGAACCTTCGTC